AACTTTTCACAACATTAAATCAAATGCTAAATATCAATATCAACAATTTCAACGACTGTGTACTAAATTTTCACAGCATTAAACCAGATGCCATATATGAATATCAACAATGTCAAATCTGTGAACTAAACTTTTACAGCATTAAATCAGATTATAATAATGTATCTCAACAATGTCAAAACTGTGAACTAAACTTTTACAGCATTAAATCAGATTATAATAATGTATCTCAACAATGTCAATACTGTGTACTAAACTTTTCACAACATTAAATCTGATGCCAAATATAAATATCAACAATGTCAAACCTGTGTACTAATCATTTCATAGCATTAAATCAGATGAAAAATATGATAATAAAAAATGTCAACAACTGTGTACTAAACTTTTCACAGCAATAAATCAGATGCTAAATATGAATATCAACAATGTCAAAACTGTGCACTAACCTTTTCACATCATTAAATCAGATTTTAAAAATGAATATCAACACTATCAACAACTATGTACTAAACTTTTCACAACATTAAACCAGATGCTAGTTATGTATGTCAACAATGTCTATACTGTGTACAAAACTTTTCAGAGCATTAAATCAGATGCTAAATATGAATATCAACATTCACAAAACTGTGTACTAAACTTTTCACATCATTAAATCACATGCTAAATATGAATATAAACAACTCGAAACTGTGTGCTAAACGTTTCACAACATTGAATGAGATGCTAAATATTCATAATCTCAAAACTGTGCACTAAACTTTTAACAGCACTAGATCAGATGCCAAATATGAATATCAGCAAGGTCAACAACTGTGTACTAAACTTTTCACATCAATAAATCAGATGCTAAATATAAATATCAACAACTGTGTACTAAACTTTTCACAGCATTAAGTCAGATTCTAAATAAGAATGTCAACAATATCAACAATGTAAAAACTGTCTACTCTACTTTTCACAGCATTAAATCATATTCTAAATATGAATATCAATAATATCAACAATGTCAAGACTGTGTACTAAACTCTTCACAGCATTAAATCAGATTCTAAATAAGAATGTCAACAATATTCATAATCACAAAACTGTGCACTAAACTTTTAACAGCACTAGATCAAATGCCAAATATGAATATCAACAAGGTCAACAACTGTGTACTATACTTTTCACAGCATAAATCAGATGCTAAATATCAAGGTTAACAATATCAAGAATGTCAAAACTGTGTACTAACCTTTTCACAATAATACACAGTTTTCACATTGTTGATATTTTTGACATTCACATTTAGCATCGGATTTAATGATGTGAAAAAATTAGTACACAGTTGTTGACATTCATATTTAGCATCCGATTTTATACTGTCGAAAGGTTTGTACATGGTGTTTACATTGTTGAGATTCTTATTTAGCATCTGATTTAATGCTGTGAAAAGTTTAATACACAGATGTTTATATTGTTGACATTTCTAGTTAGCATATGATTTAATGAACTTTTCAAGGCATTAACTTAAATAAATAAGAATGTCAACAATATCACAATGTCTACAACTGTGTACTAAACTTTTCACAGCATTAAATCAGATGATAAATAAGAATGTCAACAATATCAACAACTGTGTACTTATCTTTTCACAACTTTAAATCAGATGCTAAATATGAATGTCAACAATATCAACAATGTCAACAACTGTGTACTAAACTTTTCACAGCAGTAAATCAGATAAATAAAAATGTCAACAATATCAACAGCTGTGTACTAAACTTCGCACAGTATAAAATGAGTTGCTAAATATGAATGTCAACAACTGTGTACTAATCTTATCACATCATTAAATCAGATGCTATATATATGAATGTCAACAATATCAACAATGTCAAAACTGTGTATTATACTTTTCACAGCAATAAAGCAGATGTTTTATAAGAATGTATACAATATCAAAAGCTGTGTACTAATATTTTAACAGCATTAACTCATACAAATATGAATATCAACTATATCAACAATGTCAAAACTGTGTACTAAACGTTTTGCAGCATTAAATCAGATGCTAAATATGAATGTTAACAATATCATCAATGTCAAAACTGTGTACTAAACTTTTCACAACATTAAATCAGATAAATAAGATATCAACAATATCAACAATGTCAAAACTGTGTATTAACCTTTTCACTGCATTAAATCAGATAAATAAAAATGTCAACAATATCAAAAATGTCAAAGCTGTGTTCTAAGCTTTTCACAGCATTACTTCAGATAATTATGATTGTCAACAATATCAATATTGTCAACAACTATGTATTAAACCTTTCACAGCATTAAATCAGATGCTGAATATGAATGTCAACAGTATTAACAATGTCAAAACTGTTTACTAAACGATTTTCAGTTTTAAATCAGATAAATATTAATGTCCACATCTTTATCCTAAACTTTTCAATATTACAAAGAAATATGAAGACTTGTCGTTCATTAGTTTAGAATGATTTCGTTAACATTTGACAACGTTCCTAAAAGAATGTATGTAAAAAGACCTATGATTAAAAGTTAAACATCAACCGTTATTTTGTATTTCTATGAATACATTATTACTTATATCGAACCTACGTTTTCCTCTATCATTTAGTATGATAATATATACACATAAGCATATACATGTCTATTTTTTAAAGTAATTGGTATGGGTGTTTTTGTTCATGTTAACGTTCACGAAGAGAAAAACATTTGCAAAATTGATCTTCAGACTTGTAAAAACACTTTCGGAAATGTGAACATAAAATACGATATACAAACCTAAAAAAAGATGACATTTTTGGCCGCTTGGCTGTTTAATATACATTTACTTTGTGCCAATAGTTTAAAACTACTTATATTTTACATATTTTCTAAGTAAAAATACAAGTACGAATACTAGGATTTTTCTGATAATCATATATAATTATGTCACATAATCACTTCAGATGCTATGGTTTGTTTGTTTCAGGTGTGGGACGAAGAGTTGGCAGCAATCGCTCAGAAACACAGCGATCAGTGTGTTTATAGACATGATTGTGCAACATGTCGTCAAGTTGGTGTGTAGTGAAAAGTTGTTACATTGTCTCTAGTCAGAAAGTAACACAAACGTAGCCTAAATTCTCACAAAGGTTGTAAAATGTATATAACATGATTAGTGGTAATTATACGGATTGAGCTGTAAACATTGCCCCAAATTCCACACAGGTCCTAAAATATGTACTTCATAACTAGTGTTAATTATACGGATTGTGCTGTAAACATAGCCCCAAATCCCACACAGGTCGTAAAATATGCACTTAATAACTAGTGTTAATTATACGGATTGAGCTGTAAACATAACCCCAAACCCCACACAGGTCGTAAAATATGCACTTCATAACTAGTGTTAATTATACGGATTGAGTAACATACATGATCCAAAATTCCACACAGGTCGTAAAATATGCACTGCATGACTAGTGTTAATTATACGGATTGAGTAACATACGTGGATCAAAATCCCCCACAGATTGTAAAATTTGTAATTAATATCAATTGAATGGATTGGGTAACAAGTATAGACCAAAATTCCATACAGGTTGTAAAATCTGCCACATGGCTGTTGTTAACGGATGAAATGTCACATTTCAACACATTTAGTGATCGAAATATCATATTATAAACGATTAATTAACCAGTAAAATATTGTAAGAACTCCAATGTACCCTACATAATTCAGAAAGATAAATTAGAGTTTATATTGGTAATATATGTAGAAATGAGTTTAACCCTATACGTTCTATTTTTTGTACAATATCTATCTAGGCAACTTTTCCGTTGGGCAGAACCTCTATACAACATACACAAGTCAGAACTCCTGCCCACCTGTTAACTGGGCTGCGGCTATACATTCCTGGTACTCGGAAGTGAAGGATATGCCTGCGTCTTACATCTCTCCATTTCGAATTAACACAAATCCTGGGAAACAAATTGGACATTTTACTCAGGTAAATGATATTTTAATCGCTAATCAGTTAAGACCTAAATAAAGCCTTCATGCAGCCTCAGTGTGATAAAGATGAAACTGTAGAAAACATTAAGTTGCTTAAAGTATTGATAATATCAATGTTCCTCCAACTGGCAGAATAGAAGGATCTTTATGAAATATCTCTCAGTTAGAAAGCATCAAAAGCCAGTGATTATGACCATAAGAAATATTTGTAGCTATATTACATGGTTTGGGGGCATTAGTTGTCCAGGCCACTTCTATTTATAAAACAAGATGAAGTTCTGAAAGAAATCACTAAAGTACAGGGAGTAATTGCACTAAGTACTAATCCTTGGGTATTGTCATTGCACTTTTGAAGAAGAAAGGTTGATTCACAGAGATCTGCGTAGATTATAGGCTGATGAAGGAAGTCACAAAATATAACATCTACCCTCTGTCAGGAGCTGACTGTATGTTTAAAGCTTTAAAAGTTAGAAAGGTCAAACTCTTGCCGTGTCTTTACAAAGCACGTAGGGCCGATGTTTCAACTGTACTTTGAACGCCTTGGATGGGATAAAATGATTTTTAACATTGAAGCTGAAGAGTGGATATTACAAGTTGACTAAACAAATAGAGAAAAAACATTCTTTACTGCATTGTTAACATTTGGATTATGTAATGAAAGTAAAAAATTAATGGAATATTTTTTCGCTAAATTACCACGGATCTTTGTACTCTTCCACCTTTTATACATTTGTGAAAGTTTCAAACTAGCTGAGGAAATAAAACCTTAAGCTCGATCCCAATGAATTGATAGGTTTCCCACAAAACATAGTCAGTGGAGAGGGAGTGTATACAGACCCAACCAAATTGTAGCTGTTCAGAGCTAGTCAACATCACAAAACCAACCAATATAAAACAATCTTCTGACAACTAAAGGATTTGTGTACGAAATCTCATTACATTATTTAAAATCATGTGCTGGAGGAACTTGGTAAAAATTAAGATGGTGTTCACCCTATGAACTCCCACACCCTCAGGTATCGCTGAACATCCCTTTGATAGTGAACACCAAGTTAACTGAAATAGTTACAAGATCATTGACAAGGATTAAAATTACAAAATAAGAAAAATTAAGGAGGTATCCCGTGATCAATATAGAAAACTCTGGTTTAGAAAGAAGTGATTTGTGGATACGGTTGTTCAAAAACAGCTACTTTCAGCCTTGCAGAACCTATGACTAAAACGTTTTAGGATTCAAGAACCAGTTAGGAATACACATACATTGTACAGCCACCTATCTCAGTTTCAGTTTCTCAATTTTATACATAATGAACTGAATCAATCATAGGACATAAAAAAGGTTCACACGTATGAACAGCTGGTTGCCTTTATATAAAACATGTTTTTCAACCCGTCATTCTTAGTTATAAGAGTGTGTTAAACAGGTAAAACGATTTATTCACCTCAGTTATATATACAGTGTAAAACATACCACTTATGTAAACAGCATAGAACACCTCAGTTATATATACACAGTGTAAAACATACCACTTATGTAAACAGTATAGAACACCTCAGTTATATATACAGTGTAAAACATACCACTTATGTAAACAGTATAGAACACCTCAGTTATATATACAGTGTAAAACATACCACTTATGTAAACAGTATAGAACACCTCAGTTATATATACAGTGTAAAACATACCACTTATGTAAACAGTATAGAACACATTGGTTACTTACACAGTATAGAACACGTCAGTAACACACACAGTGAACAACACAATAGCAACTTACAGAGTATAACACATGTTATGTATCCAGTGTATAACACACCAGTTATGTACTCAGGTAGGAAACACCAGTTATGTACACAATATACAACACATCAGTTATATGCATAGTGTAGAACACACGAGTTATGAACACAGTGGGCAACACAACAGTTACCTACACATAATATAACACATCAGCAATATACATATTATAGAACACACCAGTACTGTACACAGAGTAGAACACAACAGTTACATATACAGTATAGAAAACACCAGTTATGTACACAGTATAGGACATACCAGTCACGTACATAGTGTATAACACACCACTATATACAAAGTATAGAACACAGCAGCTATGTACACAGTGTAGAACGCACCAGTTATGCACACAGTGCAGAAGACACCAGTTAACTTCACAGTGTAGAATGCACCATTTATGTACACAGTGTAGAACACACAACTTATATACACACTGTAAAACACACCAGTTACCTACACGGTGTAGAACAACCCAGTTATATACAGGGTGTAGAACACAGTAGTTACCTATACACTGTAGTACCAACCAGTTATAAACACAATACAGGACACATCAGTGATGTACACAGTATAGATCACACCAGGTTTGTACACATTATAGAATGCACCACTTATTGACACGGTAAAGGACACACCAGTTATTTACAGATTGTAGAACACACCACTTATTTACAGAGTGTACAACACAGCAGTTACCTATACACTGTAGTACAAACCAGTTATATACACAATACAGGACACACCAGTGATGTACACAGTATAGAACACACCAGTTTTATATATAGTAAACAGTACACCAGTTATGTACATAGTATAGAGCACACCAGTTATATACACGGTGTACAACAAAACGGTTTTATACATAGTGTAGAACACAACAGTGATAAACACGAAACAGAACACGCCAGTTATGTACACAGTATAGAACATGCCAGTTATATACACAGTGTAGAACACATCAGTTATGTACACGATGTAGAATACATCAGTTATATACAATGTGTAGAACACATCAGTTATGTACACAGTGTAGAACACATCAGTTATGTACACAGTATAGAACACATCAGTTATGTACACAGTATAGAACACACCAGTTATGTACACAGTGTAGCACACATCAGTTATGTACACAGTGTAGAACACATCAGTTATGTACACAGTGTAGCACACATCAGTTATGTACACAGTGTAGAACACATCAGTTATGTACACAGTGTAGAACACATCAGTTATATACACAGTGTAGAACACATCAGTTATGTATACAGTGTAGAATACATCAGTTATGTACACAGAATGAATCCCACTGTTAAGCAGCAAGTTTCAGATGACACTTTCTCTCCAGTAAACTTCAAATTTACTCGATTATTTACTTATTTATACATATATTAAAAGGTTAAAGTTCATGGGATTTATGTAAATATTAACCTATATTACAGTACTCAAACGATCAACGTTTTCTGGTACATAGTTAAGATTTTTATTTTAAGAGCGATCAGTGGTCGTTAAAAACACTCTACTTGTTTCGACGTCCATTCACATGAACCTCGGGATCTTGTCATGATCTTATCACTACTTGTTTATATACTTAACAAAAGATCTCGCCATCTACTTACTTTCTGATTTTTGTGTCTCTTCATCCTTATTTACGGGGAAATTAGTTTTACTGTGTTTCATTATTTCTAAGGTTTATTTAATATTTCTAGCCATCATATTATCCAGTTAAGCCAGAGTAACAGTGTTTTCCCCTCTGGATGACAAGAGAAGTATAATTTACATGTTCAGCTGATGTAAGGTTTTCACTTTTGTTATTAACTTTTCTCTTATGTTTAATTATTCTAAATATCAAGTTTCTTCTAGTTTGATCAATGTTAAACCACTTTCACATTCAATTTTAAAAACATCCTTTTTCACCAGTGAATTGATTTCGTCTTTAGTTGTTTTTTTAATTTACGAAAAATTTGACACGAGAAACTTGGGACATAAAAATATTTCCTTTTTATCTATTTTTATCAAATGTTGATTTTAGTTTGTGATTTGGTTAAATTTTCTCACGGCTGTATCAACAATAGGCGCAGAGAAACCTCTACGTAATGCTACATATTTAATAAAATAAATTGTGTACCAAACAAAGTTGATCGTTTGAGTATTTTAGTGTATTTGTATTTATACCTGTGTCTTGTGTGTTATTCAGATCGCGTGGGCTTCAACATGGCGTGTAGGATGTGGCTTTATTTGCTTCGCTATCAACAAAAGTCCCTTCAAGTGGCAACAACTGTACACGTGCAACTACGGTCCAGCGTAAGTGTTGTGTAATAGTATTTATTCCCATCAAATAGAAACGAATTGAATTGTTGAATTATTCAGTTCGAGGAAAGAGTATTATTACGGTGAAAATATGAATGTATTATATAAGCATTCAAACCTTTACATTAGAACCGATGCTGAACTGTAATGCTAATAAACATATGATTAAACTTATGGTTATATATATGTTTTAATGTCATTTTTTGATCTAAGACCTTACCACATTAATCTGCATTACATCCAAAATATATCTTGTATACGTTATTGAAGAGTTCGCTTAGTACTGAATCCTTATCTATGAATGAAATTAATCATGTTTTCTTCTTTCAAAGATTTTTAACACAATTTTCTGTTGAATTGTGAGAGTGTTATTTCTACTTTCAAACTCAGTTGGAGATTACATTCTCCACATCATTCTTCACAGTTTAATCTCAGTTAGAGATTACATTCTCCACATTGTTCTTTACAGTCTAATCTCAGTTAGAGATTACATTCTCCACATTGTTCTTCACAGTCTAATCTCAGTTGGAGATTACATTCTCCACATTGTTCTTCACAGTCTAATCTCAGTTGGAGATTACATTCTCCACATTGTTCTTCACAGTCTAATCTCAGTTTGAGATTCCATTCTCCACATCATTCTTCACAGTCTAATCTCAGTTGGAGATTACATTCTTCACATTGTTCTTCACAGTCTAATCTCAGTTAGAGATTATATTCTCCACATCATTCTTCACAGTCTAATATCAGTTGGAGATTACATTCTCCACATTGTTCTTTACAGTCTAATCTCAGTTGGAGATTACATTCCCCACATTGTTCTTCACAGTCTAATCTCAGTTGGAGATTACATTCTTCACATTGTTCTTCACAGTCTAATTTCAATTTCAAATGTCATGGTCAATATGCTTAGATCATATCCTGATCTTTCAAGACACTCCCCTAGTGGGTCAGTGGTAAGTTTAATGCCTTAGAACGCTAAAATCCAGGGTTAGATTCCCACTCGGGTGGACACAGCAAGATATCCTAATGTGGCATAGGCCTAAAACAAACAAACTTTGAATACAAATTATTATTTTTTTGTTAGAAGCATACTAAACAAACAAGTTGTTGACATTTTGTTTTCAATACAGACAAATTTTAATAGAAGGTTGGTTATCAAAAGGACATGTTTAGCTGTTTTCAAGCAACTGTATTTTATTGCTGACACTTTTCTTCTATCAAAGGTTGTTACTTATTATCAATTTTATAACTAAAAAAAAATCACCAATTGGACGCTGCCTATCTATTCAAATGTTCTACATTGCAGACATCTACCCTCAACCCTGTATATATGATATCCTATCGCCTTGATATTCTATTTTACATAAATTTACACTATATACTTTTTATCTAGCAAGCTATCTTTATAGCTTACTTTCTAGGTGTCTACTCTACATCCCGGATGTGTATTATGTTTCTGTTTTATTTAAAAGTTAACGGATGACACGCCTGTTTGTTTCGTAGGATAAACACCAAGATTGTATCATAGTTCCATCATAAATTTGTGAAAATTGCATAAAACACTCTCACTCTGGAGCTGCAAGGCTCCAATGCTCCAGTGTACTTATCACGCTCCTCCCACACTGGAGCTGCAACGTTCACGGCCCTCCATATCCTCAATTATTTCTATGGCTACCTCAATGGAGAGGGTTTCATGCGCGTCAAGAAAATCATTTTAGGACACCCACCAGTGGTACCTGAGCTAGCTTGTGCTTCAGATTATGAACTTTGTTTCAAACTCGGCGTCACTGGGATCGTAAAGGAGGGCATTAATACAAAGTCCGATTCCGGCAGATTGTGGTTGAGAAAGATTGAAATTTCACTCTTAGACACACATCATACATACCTGGGTGACCTTCCCCTGGCGTTTTAGGGTAGCTTTACTTGAACCACCATGAGTCTGTCTGCCAAGTTTAGTCCTGCTGATTACAAATGTCTGGGAGTAATTCGCCGATAATCACTCATAATGTGATTTAATATTAATTAATGTTTAAGATGTTCTTTCATCCTCTACGAACTACGGTCCACGTGGTCACATCACACGTTCACTAACAGTCCATGCAACAGTTACAAGTCTTTAAAATAATAATCTTAATCAGTACTGACTTCAGAGAGGCCTCGGGTTTTACGTTAGAACACGAATAAGCGAAAGTCGATAATTGTGTAGAACACAAAAAATAATGAATCGATAATTATATAGAAAACCAATGTGCACGAATCAAATATAATAACATAACATAATATCATAGATATATAACAACAATAAACAAGTATCATATGGAACTTTATTACTTACACGTCTCTTGTTTTCCAGAGGTAACATTTTAAATGGAGAGATGTACCAGAAAGGTAGCAGTTGTAGCAACTGTCCACCCAACACTTCATGCGGAAGCAATCGTGTCAAGAGTGACTACGCTGGCTTGTGTAGTAAGTATATCAGAGAGAACAGGACTTGGAGTTACAGTTTACGTTTAAAGGCCGTGTTTTATATTATGGTTTAATTTATTAACTACAATCCGTTTGTGTGTATTTAACGTACACATTATATGCGGAAACATCTGTTAGCTGAGTTCTTGCACAGATCTTAAAATATAATGTTGATAAACGGAAACATCGACACATGTAGATATGTAGATCTTGAAAGTTGAGTTGTTCAAAACTTGAATATAGCGTTGATAACTGGAATAATTATACTATTTCCTATAGATCATTTTACAGACGGTTCTGCTATGATTAGTTTCTGGTGAAAAGCTTTAGCAGATATTTCCTTTG